GTCCTCTGTTCTCCTATTCTTTCCAATACCTCTTCATTTCTAACCTTTTCTACCCACGATATCCTCATCATCCGCCTATAACACCACATTTCGAACGCTTCTAACCTTTTCTTTTCCGCCGCTCCCACTGTCCATGTTTCGCACCCATACAACGCCCTGCTCCAAACATACACCTTTAACAACCTTTTTAGAATTTCTAAATTAATCGTTCGCGAGCATAGAAGTGATTTCTTTTATTGAAGGCGACTCGACCCTGCGCTATCCTCTGTTTTATATTTCTACTGCTGGTACCATCCTGAATTATGTGACCGAAAATCAGCGACTGATCAATTCTTTCCCTAGTGGTTACATTTCAACGATGAAACCCAAGCAAGCGAAAGGGTTGAAAACTATTTAGTTGTTTACATAAAAAAAAACGAAGTACATACGTATTTGTTTTTTTTGTCAATTTTATAAAACTGTCGGTGTATTTGTACTTGTTATTGCATAATAATTTACCGCAAGAAAAAGCTAATCGTTAGCGAGAAATAAAATCTGACGAAATATATTTCCCGATAAAGACAGTTTCCGTGAAAAGTTTGCTTCATTTTTCAATGATAGCATGATGCAGCAATTGTAAATGTTTCGCAAAATCCGTGAACTGCAACATGTGGTACATATTTTCACGCTCGGCAAATTTCATCTGGTGATTCATTTTTTAAATGCCGTGCGGAAAAGCTATTACAAATTACACCACTTATTATTTATTTTATTTACATGTAAAATTCCACTATTTGTTAAACGTTGTAATTAATATTATGTCGTCAGAAAATTACAAAATCAGCCGATGTTTTAAAAAATTCACCATTAGTAGCAAGGACGCATTGTAATTATATAATAAACACGGTATTCTGAAAACGTTCCAACTGATATAATTTTGTAGTGTATTGCTTTTCGTAATTACAATGAAAAATTAGAAAGAATTGCCAAATCAAGGGGCGCTTTATTTGTTGTAAACAAAAGAAGATAAATATGGCTCACAAAAGATTGTTTCCACATGTATTTTTAAGATTTTGTTTCTCAAGAAGATTGAAATCACTTTTGAGATCACTTTTTTACAGTTTTGTTTTGAATTTTAAATTAAATTATTTCAAACAAATTACACCCCTGTAAACAACGTTCCCTTTCTTAATTACACCAGTCCTTTAATGTGACTTTCATATGGACTGCTGTATCTGGCGGCGAAACTTAGAACTAACATGGGGTAAAAACGTCTGTGAAACGTACTGTGAATCAGTACTGTTAATCATGAATTTTTATATTATAGTAACANCTGACGACGACGCTCTCTCCACGGCGACGATACAAGTCCGTCCCGTGACGTCTCTTCACAAACAACAAAAAGAATAATAAAAAACCCAAAGAATACGGGAATACAAGAAAGTCGCACAAACTCGACGTGTATTTTTACGAACGAATAAGTGAACAGGCGGCGCGACGGCTACAACACTTTATTACAGAAATACTCGGAGATCGCGGTTGGCATCGACACTAGCGAAAAGAACAGTGACGAGTCAGTCTGTAAAAGTCGGCTTTAATATACGGAGAAGGTGTTACGTCACAAAGTGGGGGCCCGACCGCCGTCGTCGTGCCGCCACCGCCACCGCCGCCGCCGACGTCGTCGGTCGTTTTCCAACAAACATGAACGACTACAACGACGATGGTGACATCCTTCCGATCCATCTGTATCATCTCCAGTGCAGGGCCTACCTTAAAATTCACTCGTCACCCATCTCTGTTGCTTTTATTGTTACAGGTAGATACACTTTTCTTATCGTCAGTTACTTAGTTGATTGACGTGGTGTGAGATTAGTCCTTTGATGAAAGTGCGCGTGAAAGGACCTTGGCAGCCTAGCGTGAAAGGAACCGACCGAATTGGGTAGGATCACGACTAAAAATAAACGCAATCGCCAGTAAAACTGCTAAGAAGTTGCGTCAGCTGAAGTCGATGCCACGATGAGGGGTTGTCATTTGAATCAGTAGGTACCAGAGGGTGAAACATAAAGAGGCTGATGCAATATTAAGTAAAAGTATCGAAATGTGCCATATCCGTCTTGATTACCGAAAGCATCTCCCAGACCAAGATTTTCTTAGGATAAAGTGTAAAGCAATGCAATTGGGGGATGAAATTTGGAAGGTCGTCTTGTTAAGGTACGCCATATTAGCAGACTAATGTCATTTTTTAAAAATTTCCATCACATGACAAAACCTAAATCAGATCTAAACACCGTACTAATTAGATGCAACACATCGACATTATTCAATCATCGAATATTTATCCTTACGTGTGTTTATTTGGATTTTTCTTGTGACCTAGACTAAGAGGCCTACCAACTTTTGATCGTCGACCGTGATCAACTGTCAGATCAACGATTTCATTTTTCATTCGATCTATCCCATGTGCCCACCCCAATGTAGTATTTCCGGTATAAAAAATTAATGGTAGAAATTTTTTTTTGGCAATGGAGTGTGTTTCTACGCGAATTGGATAGGACTACAACTAGCAGATAATAAACACAAATAAAATTGCTAAGAAGTTGCATTAGTTTTCGCTGGTGAATCGATTCCATGATAAGGGGTTGTCATATGAATGAGCACAAGAGGACGAAACGTAAAGACAAAGAGGCTGATGCAATTTGGGCGTAAGTGAGGAAATACTTGCCGCATTTTGAGACATGACATAACTGCAAATTCAGAAACTTGATTTTTAGTCTTTATGGTACAAATGATTTTTTTGGAAATTCAATCACCTCAATCGCTAGACAACGGAAGTCAATTTCTAATACCTCAGCAATTAATTTCAATTTGGTGTTTAGGCGTTACTAAAATTTAGTTTCGAAACTTTCTGTTTTTTTGTTCAACCAGGGCCTATTATAGTTTTATGGATTTAAATTTAGTCGTTTAATTTTCATATTTGCTTTCGTGAATTTTCTTTTGTAGTATCATTCAACTTTTCGCTTGACTATCTGTTCAACAGTTCGGCTTTCACTTCCAGATGATATGACTTAGATCTAACAGAAGGATTAACTTAATAAACTGTCATTTTCTTTGTAATATTTTATGGGTTCGAACGTGTTATGAGAAAAGAATGGCATAAATTGCTTTCACTTTGGTTTTCCATTCGTACATAATAAATATACTTATTAGTATTTACTGCAATTAAAAATACATAAAAATAAATTGGTGCATGTGCTCCATTTCTATTTCATAGACATGGGTACTAGTACGGTTTAAAGACCTTTTCCAATATATGTACACGTAAATTTTGCAAAAACCTAACCACCGCTGGTTAAAGACCAATGATATTACACATTACACCTTAGGATTTAATTGTCAATTCGAAAATGATGTCGTTCAGTTTTTAATATTTAATGAATCGTTAAGTTATCTATATCAGTACACACGGATCCTACATATCATCAAAAAATATAAACAACTAATAAAAACCTACACTCAAATCTCCTACCACTCTACATGGAGCTTAAACCATCAAGTAGGTACAATGTAACTAAATAACCAATTCTACCAAACAACTCCTAAGCAGAAACAAACAAGACAAAGTAAAAGCACAAAGGGTAAAAATAAAAAAAAACCTCTCCCGTCCTCACCGGTAATCCTAGATAGAAGGTATCATTTGAACCAAACCCTTTTTTTTTAATTATACTTTTTAACAGTCTTACTTACTTAATATTCTCCTTACAATAATCGAAAACTTTACATTCCCCGTATCCACCTAGCACATGCATCGTTGTTTCATCTCCCCTTTCACATATTCTGCATACCCTTTCTTCTTCCTTCATCCAACGCCTACGCTTTGTGCTTTCATTTTCCACTCTAAACCTATCTATTACGTGCTCATCCTTCATTCCATTCAAATAATCTGGTATACAGTCTCCCTGTCAATGCTTCCATAGCAGAGCTTTCATATATTCCACATATCTTGATTTATCAATACTTCCCTCCTTAACATCTCATTTCATCATATCTTTACCATTTCCTTCACAGATACTGCCATTCTGCTTCAATTCATTTAATTGTTCCTGATTCAACTTCAAATCTTGTAAAGGTTCCTCCCTTTCTTTATTATACCTGTTTTTTGTTCCAGTTTTTAAAATTCTTCTCCATAACTCATTTCTTATATTCCCATCCCTTAACTTTTCTAGTTTTATCTCATAGTTTACCACCCTTCTCTTGGTTTTCTCTACCATCTTTCCACATTTTAATTCTCATTTTAGTATACATATTATAAAAAAAATGACTTGACTCCATTTGATTTTCTTGTATAAAACAGTTAACGACGAGAAAACAGTAACTACACGTGTACCCCTAGAGACGAGAGGGATGACTTATTATTATTACGTCTACATTACAGGGTCGCATATACGCTCTCTTAGCATTTCTTGTTATTAATTGTAAAAGCAATTGGCATTTGTTAAATTTAAAGTGGAAAACCACATTGAAAGTTGTTGGTTCGGAATTAAAAGAAATCTCTTCATTTACCTCGTTTGTTTCTTACAATGATCAGACAGTTAAAAATACATGAAGCGTAAAAAATGTTTACATACTGATCCACATACTAAACCTACATACATACAATATGTATTTACAAAACGCAGTCTTCGACCATAACAGATTCTTACACAAACCGTTTCGCGGCCTTGTGTTTTTCTTCCTTTTCTTTAATGGCGATCGTTTTTTCTTCGCAGAGCAATGAATCCACTCGACCATAACCTACGCCACCGACGAGTTAAAAGTTAGTGATCCACATAAACCTATTCCTATCTCGTACTTGTATCAAGAGATCAATGGCGACCGTGCGAAGGTAAGCTTTCAAGTTTTCTTTTTCAATGAAACAATTATTGTAATATTATAGCGTATATATGTATGTAATAGGTATGTTGTCGACAAGTACATAACTGACGTATTCTGTAGAATGCCTAGTCTTTATACGTAATGCCGGTCAAAGCGCCAGTGTAAGTAATAAAATAAAAAACAAAGGACTTCGCTAGATCCTTACGAAAAATGGTCCTTCGTCAAACTCTTTGAAACTTTGGATTGTTTCGTTACAAGTATCCGTCGTATAAACTAAGAGTCTGTGTTTTTGTGAAATTGAAGCAAATTCTTCATAATTCCTGTCCTTTTTAATCAATTTTCAGACTTTGACGCGCAAAATTTTACACTTTACAATGGTTCAAGTCAGTTTTAATTTATATTTTATACAAAAGCGCAACAGGTGAAATGTATTTATACTTTCGTAAAATCAAATGAGAAATTTCATAATTTTGTCTTCTTTTTGACCAATTCTCAAAACAGACGCGTAATATTTCGCTTTTTGCATTAGTTCAAGCCAATTTTAATTTGTAAGATATAAAAGAGTGACAGGGTGTCAAAAAGTGGTTCATAATTTTATATTACAGTGTAAACTCTTTATAACGTCGCTCGATTTAACGATAAACTCCTTAAAACGTCGAAATTGCATGATTTTGGTTGGTTTACATTGTTTTCTATACAATATTACACTCTATATAGCGTCACGCTCACTCTATTTAACGACAACAATGAGGCAACAATTAAGTCATTGAGCAGTACTTTCTAAGTTGCCGAAATAGATAACTAGAACTGCAGCTGGTTACTTAGTTGATTGACGTGGTGTGAGATTAGTCCTTTGATGAAAGTGCGCGTGAAAGGACCCACTCCCTACATATTCATAAAATATTTTTAAAATACTTTTTGAAAAGTAAAATACAGTGTGATTAACAAAAACAATGAAACTACAGAAGTAAATTTTGAGAAGTTTTCCAATCAATGTTTATTGAGTAAAGAATTCATCAAATTCTAGTGTTTAAAAAAAATTTTTCGCCAACAGTCGTCAGGACTACTTTGTAAACCTAAAAGCTATATTAGGTCGCCATGNAGTATATTTGGAAAATTTGAGATAAAAAACAATCAACTAACGGTTTGAATAAAAACAATAGATATTAGTTACTTAAAATTTTTGTATTGTAGTTATTTACTGCTTCTTTAGAACATTTGTTCCTAGAACATATTTTATCAGTTATATAGAAAGTTAAAAAACATGGCGACGATGTGGTAATCGCCATGTTTTTTAAGCTCCGCCCATTTAATGGACTCTAATGCTATTTCTACAGCTTCTAAACTACGCTAGGATATCAATAGGGAAAGCAATTCATTCAAATATTAAAAAATTTGGGGAAATATCCCTTACCTAATTTATAAATGACATCTTACTCTATTTACGTATTTATTGCATACACAGCTACCTACATGTTTACATATAAACCTAAATAATGTGGCGGAAGACAGTTTAATATCTGGAGAATTTAAAAGTTGCTTGTCCATTTAACAACTAACACATTGACCGCAATTATTATTGCGTGATGTAACATCGCTAAATTAAACTACATAGGTAACATAGAATTAATTTTATTGCACTTCGTAAATGCTGTACCTAATATCTGTATACATTGCTCGCTTGTATCGTGTCGATGTGTAAATGATTTCCTGATTTATGCAATCGTTTAATCACGACAATTTACGCTGTTCTCCTTCACCACTCAAAAATTATGGGAAAGCTATTGTATTAGTACGTACGGTATAGATAGATATATATTTAGTAATAACGGTTCTCCTTGGTTCGGCAATCGTAAGAGATCATGGCCGATTGCTAATTAATTTGAAACTGATATAATAATTATAACAAAGACCTTTATTACATGGACGTTGTGGTTGTCGTATTATTCTAAGTGTCTTGAAAATATTGAAGAAGGTACAGTACAAGCGAATTGAGAACTGAACGTAGGGATATGCAATCTTCAAAGGGTGGCATCATCTTTTAAAAAATACGCCGTGATATATATAGTAATTCGTACAAATACTTTCAGCCACCTTGTCATATAAACAATAAATTAATCAATAAATGCAATTTAAAGTCCTTGAGAGGCGTTACTATGATCTGTTTCGGGGCTGTCTCTCAAGACCCTTTTTCTCAAGAACGCGTGGAGGTATCAATATGACAAAATACCACAAATGGCGCGGTAAACGCCATCTGTAGTACAATGCTACATTTTAGGATTACGTATTCTCTAATCAGGTCCATTTAAATATATGGGGATATCTACTTGCTGAAACGAATCCCGGCGTAGCTAACCCTCAACGTGATAGGCACGTTACTATAATCGAATAAAATAATTCGAAGTAATCTGTATTCTGTCGAAACTGCCAGACGCGAATCGCGATTTCGATCTTTTTGGATCTCATCAGTGCGTCGCAAACAGCTCCGACAGAACACAGACCAACTTTTACCTGCTGTCTTAGTAGCGCGTTTTAGAAAATACCACAAATGGCGCGGTAAACGCCATCTGTAGTACAATGCTACATTTTAGGATTACGTATGCTCCAACAAGATCCATTTAAATATATGGATATCTCTACTTGCTGAAACGAATCCCAGCGTAGCAAACATCAAGGTGATAATGAATAATATAACAATATGAAATTAATATTATTAAGCACTCGGTTCTGTAATCCCTTCAAGCTGTGAAAGAATCAAACTTCTAAGTCAACGCAATCAAAAGATGCTGTCATTTATGCTGCATATTTTGACTGAACTGATTTCTGAGATATCGAAAATCGGCGACCCTTCTAGTTTTTTATCTCCAATGTTCATATATTAGCTCTAGCCCTACTGTCACCTCACTGACATACCAATAATTTTGTTTTATTTTCAAATACAAAACCCTTTTTGTTACATACTATAATGGACCTTTAGTTATGTTCAAAATCCAAAAACCAATTATATTAACAATTACATAAATTAAAGTAAAAACATGCACAAAAAGTTAACATGTTTCGTCTGATAGCCTGCCATCTTCAAGGAAAATCTAAAGTTAATTTGCATGAAATACGTTCATGACAATCAATTGGCATTCACATTATTAGTGATAATCTTCATCGTATCCTTTGTCAAGTATTATGCGTAACGCGTTTAAAAATAATCGTTTCATTTAGGAATTTAAAAGAAATAATATTGAATCGTCGTGAGTGGGTGGGTCGTTATTCCGACCACGTTCGACAATAATAACAATTGATTTTGAAAACACATTTTCTTCAAAGAAAAAATCGATAAATTTAATTTTGGATTTTCGAACGAACAAAACATCATTTGCGTTTTAAAACCGAGAATTGAACTAAAACTTAACATCTGGCTGTACGGTTTTTGGCGGTCGCTGTTAAAAAAGTATGCTTTTAATTTTTAATTTATGATCGTCATAAACATAATGAGCAGCGTATTCTATAAATCTGCGTGTCACATCTCGCTTCCAAGCCGAGTTCTACATAGTAATAATAATAACGTACCGCAAAATCGGCTAAAAGTCGACTTAAATCAATTAAGCACGTCATTCTTTTTATTTTTTGTTGCTTCACAATACTATTGTACAATGAGGCACACATAGGCGGCCGAAGGAGTCTAAAATTTTTCTAGGATACATATTAAATAAGTATAATTATGCGAAATCTAAATGATGGTAGACAACAACATGAAACTACTGATACAGCGAGTGACTTCGGGTGTCCCGCAAGGCACAAAATTGGGGCCTCTGCTTTTCAAATCTNAATACTTTTTTGATTTGCCATTTCAAATGTAAAATACAAAATAGATTTCCCTTTTGTATTTTCAAAGCTAAATGCAAAATACGTTTTTTCAAAATACTTTCTTCAAATAAATACTTTCTTGTAGTATCTATTTAATTTTCTACATTCACAAAATTTTTTATGGGGTTTTACTCAGGTGATCACCTTCTTTCGATCCCCCCTACCCCCACCCCATCTAACCCCCATAACAAAATGCAAATATTGCTTTGATTTGTTATATCAGATGTAAAATACAAAATAGACTTCCCTTTTGTATTTTAAAAGCTAAATCCAAAATATGTATTTTCAAAGTACTTTTTTCAAATAAATACTTTTTCGTAGTACCTATTTAATTTTCTACATTTACTTAATTGTAAATACAAAATATCTTTTAAGAAAACTTTGCAGGCATTTGCTTATTTTTTAAATATTGAAGTTTTAGACTAACAGTGGTGTTTGCACTATATCACCAGCTGCGAAGATTAAATATCACTCATATTTTTCGCGTTGAAGTGATTGAGATGAAGTGAGATTTTTCTATCTTTATATTACAGTTTCTTCAGTTCAGCAACAAATAATTCTTCTATATGCTTCCTTATTTGCCTTGGGAAAAAGACACTGATGCCAAAATAGTTTGTTTAGCATGAAAGATCAGAGCCAAAATAGGGTTCCAAATAATTTTATTGATGTAAAATCAACATCAATCATTTTGTATCTAAATATTTACAACCCAATTTTGCTTCTGATCTTTGACACATTGTAATAAGAGAAAGACAGGAATCCATACTTTCTTTAGCTTTGGGAACATCTAATAAGTGAAGGTTTTCGAATCGTTTTCTAAGAATTTTGGATTATACGCATTTATTAGGACACCACAATATCTTGTAATTTTCAGTTTTACACAGCTGGGGTATATCAATTTGATATTGGTTTGAGGGCTGTTTTGTCGTAATTCACAGAATTTCGTAGTTCCTTGCTAAACGTACGATAAGTGGTGATTTGGCATGTGACAATATGAATTTGTAACTTCAAAATTCCATGGACCATGACATTGAACCCGAAAAACAATATCGACCCAATATTTTAGATTATTCATTTCCAATTCCCCAAGAATTTCAGGAGCTCTCATGAGTTAACGAATTAGAATGTAGCTTTTATTTTGTATTTGCA